CCCCACTGGCAGAAAAGGCTTCAGAACAGGGAGTATCTTTGTGACCACTCTAAAGTAACAACCCCTGAGTTATTTCACATTGTTTTCTTATTTTTCTTCACCACTATTATCATCACCTGACATTTTTATTTACTGTTTACAGTCTATCTCCAGAGTAGGCTCTTTCTTGTCCACCATCGCACTTCCCATGCTGAGAATGCCTGTAAATACTTGTTAACGAAAATTAGCGCGCACACACGCGCAGACCTTAATTCACATTCAGGGACATGATGTTCAAACATGGAAACCATCTTCCAATCAGACTGATATCAAATGTTCCAGTGAATTCCTACTCTTTCCTATAGAACAGCTTACATACGCATACTGCAATAATGATATTTCCCCTAGTAGTTTTCTTTCTTAATTCCCCACTATGAAGCACCAGATAATAAGTCACGGATATACCAGCTAACTCACGTTCTAGTTCATCTTCCTGCTGGGTCATGCATATTACCCACAAAGCAAACATTGCTCTTACACAGAAAGTACTGATTGTGTTTATCGCCATGAGACCCTTTTCACCCATACCACATGTATCAAGGGTATTAAAGGACTTTCAACAGCCTAACCAATAATCAAAAACTATCCAGTGCAATGAGACCAAATTATGCTCTAACTATAAATACCTTGATTTCAGTATACTGTATTCTATTTCTTTTTTTTTGGACAGGGTCTTGCTCTGTCTCCCAGACTGGAGTGCAATGGCAACAACATGGTCCACCGTAGCCTCAACCTCTCAGGTTCAAATGATCCTCACACCTCAGCCTCCTGAACAGTTGGGACTAAAGGCACCCACCACATCTGGTTTTTTTATTTTGCAGAGACCAGGTCTTACTATGTTGCCCAGGCTTACTGTATTTCAAACGTATCACTTTCATGTACGGCTTTTACTCCAATAGTTTTATTGTTTTGCTTTATCTTGTCACTTTTTTACCTCCACAAAAAGAAAATGAAGACAGTAGAGTCAAAGCCCCAGACAGAATGAATGAGTACTAAGGTGCCTTGAACACAAAGTCCCCATGAGTAAGAAGGCTTAAGGCATATACTGGGGAAAGAACTGTCTTTGGTAAATATATCTTTTGAGTCCCAACTGGTCAAACTGAGTGAGAGCAGTTACCCTACAAAATGATTCTAGTGCATTGTAAACTAGTCAGGAAGAGAGACAGCCCTTTATGTATTATGTTACTCTTTAAGCTGATACCACAGTTTTCACCTCAGGACAGAATGAAGTAGGAAAAGAGAAATTTTTCATAGATTAAATCTCACGTACACTGGCAAAACTGACCAAGTATGGGCAAGGTAAAAGTTTAGGAAACGCCCGGGGATCACAAAAGCATAAGCAGTCTCAAAAACCACCCTTTCCAGTATTTCACCTGAATCTAGATTTCGGATTCATCATAGCTTTAAAATAAAAAAATAAAATAGCCGGGCGCAGTGGCTCACGCTTGTAATCCCAGCACTTTGGGAGGCCAAGGCGGGCGGATCACGAGGTCAGGAGATTGAGACCATCCTGGCTAACACAGTGAAACCCCGTCTCTACTAAAAACACAAAAAATTAGCCGGGCGTGGTGGTGCGCGCCTGTAGTCCCAGCTACTCGGAGGCTGAGGCAGGAGAATGGCGCGAACCCGGGAGGTGGAGCTTGCAGTGAGCCGAGATGGTGCCACTGCACTGCAGCCTGGGCGACAAAGCGAGACTCCGTCTCAAAAAAAATAAAATTAAATTAAATTAAAAAGCGAGGCACAGCAAGAAGATATGGATTCCAGGGCCACACTTACCACTGACTGACCTGTGCCTTGAGCAGGCAAAAAACCTAGTACAGTACAGGCTCTGGAGCCAAGAGGGGGAGGGTTATATCTAAGCCTTGACCCTCACTAGCTCTACCACCTCTCAGGGAAAGGAAAGATGGTCTACCTCTAAGGTCAGCTGGGTGGATGCTGTAACACAATTTAAAATGCCTTGGACAGAGTCTAGCACAAAGGCTTGTTTTTTATACAAATGTACAAATGCCAGCATTTTTTCTACTTAGGTTGGACTCATGAGAAAAAGTCCAACTCCAAGTAAATGTGATCATTTCAATTACATTCCATTTTATCTTACAGATTTTTTAAAAGTTAGGCAGGTGCTCACACCTGTAACCCCAGCACTTTGGGAGGCTGAGGCAGGGAAATGACCTCCTGACCTCATCTGAGGTCAGGAGTTTGAGACTAGCCTGGCCAACATGTCAAAACCCCCTCGCTACTAAAAATACAAAAAAACAGCCAGGCATGGTGGCAGGAGTCTGTAATCCCATCTATTCAGGAGGCTGAGGCAGCGGAATCGCTCAAGCCTAGAAAGAGAAGTTTGCAAGTGAGCGGAGACTGTGCCACTGCACTCCAGCCTGGGTAACAGAGAGAGACTCCATCTCAAAAAAAAAGTATACCACTACTAGGTTATGGAACCTAAAAGCCACGTCTCCGGTTATCTTACTAATTTTGGCAACCTTCTCTCACATACATACAAATTACTTTGTTGAATGAAAATTTTATAACAATATTTTCCCTTGTAAGTTATAAGACAAGTGTAACATACATGTGAGTGTGATAACTGCTTACAATTTAATAGGCCAGGAGCAGTGGCTCACGCCTGTAATCCCAGCACTCTGGGAGGCGGAGGCAGGCGGATCACCTGAGGTCGAGTTCGAGACCAGCCTGACCAACACAGAGAAATCCGGTCTCTACTAAAAATACAAAATTAGCCAGGCGAGGTGGCGCATGCCTGTATTTCTAGCTACTTGGGTGGCTGAGGCAGGAGAATCGTTTGAACCCAGGAGGTAGAGATTGCAGTGAGCCGAGATCGCGCCACTGCACTCCCAGCTAGGCAACAAGAGCTAGACTCCGTCTCAGAACAACAGTAACAGAAAAAACAAAACCAATTTGAATAATCAGAGTTTTTTAAACACCACACTGAACTCAAGGTCATAATTCAAATCCTAACAAATTGTTTATTCTGGAAAATTCCCCAAATAATCTGTGTGGCTATATAAAAGTGTCTACTCGTGGGCTGGGCACGGTGGCTCACACCTGTAATCCCAGCACTTTGGGGGGCTGAGGCGGGTGGATCACGAGGTCAAGAGATCCAGACCATCCTGCCCAGCATGGTGAAACCCCATCTCTAAAATACAAAAATTAGCTGGGCACGGAGGTGCGCACCTGTAGTCCCAGCTATTCGGGTGGCTGAGGTGGGAGAATCGCTTGAACCCAGGAGGCAGAGGTTGCAGGGAGCCGAGATAGTGCTACTACACTCCAGCCTGGGCGACAGAGCAAGACTCTGTCTCAAACAATAAAATAAACACAAAAGTGTTTACTTGTGACAGGCCTGATGGTAACACACAAGAAAATTATTACCAAACCATCTCCAAAGTCAGTAGTATAAACACTCTGCCCCTATGCTGGGATCCTTTTAGAAACTGTTTAAAGAGATTGAACCAAAAAGTGATACAGGCCGGGCGCAGTGGCTCACACCTGTAATCCCAGCACTTTGGGAGGCTAAGGTGGGCGGATCACCTGAGGTCAGGAGTTCGAGACTAGCCTGGCTAACATGGCGAAATGCTGCCTCTACTTAAAATACAAAAATTAGCCGGGTGTGGTGGTGTGTGCCTCTAATCCCAGCTACTCGGGAGGCTGAGGCAGGAGAATCACCTGAACCAGGGAGGTGGAGGCTGCACTGAACCGAGATTGCGCCACTGCACTCCAGCCTGGGCGACAGACCACCACACTGTCTCAAAATAAATAAATAAATAAATGGGGATTTAATTTTTAAAAAATAAAATATAAAAATAAAAAGTGATCTGAGAAAGCCATATTGTACCCATATTGGGCACATATCCGGCCAAGCAGCACAGTTCTAGAAATTTAAGACAAAAATTCTGAGATTGGTATAGAAATACTTGCCGGTCAAAAGCATGGCCTAAGGCCTTCACACACCATAAAATCAGTGAAACTAATTACGGTTCTTCAGCATCTGCAGAGCATTGGCTACCAGTAAGGAGTAAGTTGGGGGAGGCAAATAATTAGTGCACCCTGAGGTGACAGTTAATTCCACTAGCATACCATTTCACAGAAGATGTTATGGCATTCTACTTCGTCCCTCTACTCTGAGAATGCTGAAGCTGGCTGGAAATTTCAACCGTTAGCCAAATGTCAAATGTCCTTAGAAGAACTTTAATAAGATCCGGATCCTCCACAATCCCCTGCATAGAAAGCTCTTGGAACTCCTCTGAGCCAACATACACAGACCCAATCACATGTTATCCACACATTTCCCAAGTAGACAAATATTCTCTGAAGTATTTCTGATAACTTCTTTCACAAAGACAAAAATATGTAAGATGCATTCCACCCAGGTCAGAATAACACACTTTCCATTCTGAAGCACCGAACAGCAAGTGAGATCTCAAAAGAGAGTATACCCTGACCAAGTTTTATGCTCTGTTGAAGGTAGAGGCTGGAAGCTAAAAAACAGGCTTTTAAAAGCCAGCTAAGGTACAGTCTGCATTTCTCAGAAAAGTTGCCTATGGCTAAAACAGAGCACAAAATGAGAGATAAAAAAGCAAAACCACAAACCCCTGTACTGTCTGACCTGGGAATCCTCACTTAACAGATGAGGAAATTACGAGGGTAAGTAACTTGCCCTGGGCTGCAGTTTATTTGGCGTCAAAGCTGTAAGCAGATTCCTGGTCTCCTAGGTCGGAATTCAGTGAAGTTACCCCACCCATCAAACAGCTACCCCACGGAAGATGCTGTATAAAACTCTTCACTCTTCACTGAGGCTGTTAACATAAGGGTCCAATTATCATTCAAAGATCAGCCTGTTAGATAATAGCTCGAAAATTCCATCCATTTTACAGCAGTTACCAGAAACATCTAATCTTCGAGGGAAAAAAGGAAAAGGAGAAAATCCTAATTTTGACCTGACCCCTAAGATCCGACTAAAGGTATCAGCAGACCGTATTGGTATCCGCAACCACAGAAACCGACAATAATCCCACCCACAAGCAGAGGAAGACAGCCGCTCCTCGGCACCGCCCCCCAACTCACCAAATTCCTCTCCCATTCTGGCGCCCAGGGGACAGTGCACCTCCTGCCGCAGCCTGAGAGCTATCAGCCCGATTGGCCACGCTCCTTCAAACCACTACTTTCCCCCGAAAAAGGGACGAGAGCCTCAGGTACCCAAACGAGCGCTCCCTTGCCCAGACACCCCGGCTCGCACACCCCGCCCTGTTCCCCGCGGCGCGGGAGGAGAGGCCGCCCCACACAGGAAGTGTGTCCTGCGCCGGGACCTTGCTCCCAGCCTGCCGGTACCTGCCCTCCGCCCCCAACAGGCGAGAAGCAGCCGCGTCCACATGGCTTCAGGTGTTCACATGGCAGTAAACGGGCCCCTGCCCTCCCGGGCGCCCCAGCGCGGCGCCCTCCCGCCCAGAGTCCGGCCCAGCCCCGCTGGCCTCGCCTCCAGCCCGCAGCCAAGAGGCGAGCGCGGCCGGTGCCCCCGGGGCTGCCAGGGGCCCCGAGGCAGGCGGCGCTGACTCCCGGACGCCGCCCGCTCACACTCGCCGCCTTTGCACCCAAGGCCTCGCGCGACGAGCAGGTACCTTCCCTCCGCACCCTCGGGCGAGCACCGGCGCCCAAGCTCCGCCGGATCCCCGGGCCGGCCCGAGACACCTCAGCCCTCTAACGCCAGGCCTGGCCCGGGCCCCTGCCCGCACTCTCGTGTCGGGCCGGGCAGCAACACTCCCCTCAGCACCTCAAGCCCTGGCTTGGAGTCCAGGAGGCTCCGCATTCCCAGGTTGGGTCCTGCCAGGACCTCTGCTCCCAGCCCCCCAGGCCGGACACCCCGGCCCGGCCCCAGTCCCTCAGGCCCGACCCTCTCCTTGCCCCTCAGGCCCGGGCGACGGTTACCTGCTGGAGCCCCCCGCCCAGTCCCTCGGCCTCCGCCGGGGGCGGGAGGGGAGGGAGCGGTGGCGACGGCGGGCGGCGCTGCGCGGGGTGGGGGTGGGGGTGGCTCCGCCGCCTCCAGCTCGGGCGCCCGGGCCGGCGGCGGGGCGGGCCGGGGCCGCGGCCCCTCCGAGGCTCGCTCCGCCGGCGCTCGCCTCCGGTCGGGCGCGCCTCAGGGCGGTCGGTCCCTGGCGAGAGCCGTGGCCGCCTCGCAGGGGCGAAGGCGGGCTCGGCCGGGGTTTTTTCTCTCCATTCTCCCAACACACAGGAAATAACAGAGCGTCAGGTGACGGCGCGCGGCCAATGGGGAGGCCTGGGCCGCGGCGCGGGCGGGCGGGCGGACGCGCGCGGCGGGGCGGGGCGGCCGGGGCGGGGGCTCGGGGCGCTGGGGGCGGGCGCGCGCGTGCCCACCCGCGTGCGGCGGCGTCGAGGCCGGCGCGCGCTGGGCAGGGGCAGCGAAGACCCCATACCCCACGGCCGGGTCGCGCGAGGTTCTCCTCCGCGGCCGCTGGGCGCAGTACGCCGTCCGCACAGTACCATCTTGGCCCGCGCCTCAGGGCCGTCTTGGGGGTGGCCGCGAGCCAACTTTCTGGGGAGTTGGTGGCCCGGAATCTCTCTGGGATTTCTGGAGTTCCCTGGAGCCTCCAATGCCAGAATTGCGCCTCTCGCGGCCCGGGAAGCCCGCGGGCAAGGGCCCGGCCTCCTCTCGGTGACCTGTTTAGTCGGGGAGGGCTTGGGGGCGGCTCCTGCCCACCAGTAGCCCTCTGGACCGGGGCCAGCCCAAGGCCTAGCTGGTCCCGCCTGGGTCCCTGGCAGTCCCCGCCCATGGGCGCCGGGTGTCCGTGGAGGAACGGCTTGGGTCCTCTCAGAGCCTCAGTTTCCACCGCGGAAAACGCGAGGAGGGAGGCCCACATACCTCACCTGTAAAATGGACGCTCCAGATGCCTTCTGCTGCTGCATTAAAAAGCTGCAATGCCAGGCTGACTGCGCCCAGGGTCCCGAATTAATTTGCCGATAAGGCGGAGGATTTGCGGTGCCAAGGCCTCAGCCTGTTCCCAGCCTTCCTTTGCAAACCTGATGTGTTTCTAGAGCAAAGAAAGGGCTTGACTTCTTTATAAAGAAAATCGCAATTGTAGAGCAACTACGGTGTAGATGTTGGCGCCCCCAGGGCCATCAAAAGTGACAAGGCCAGCAAGGGTAGGATACGTTGAGAATTTGTGATCCTGCCCCTGACCTTTGACCTGGCCAAATTTTCTCCCCACTTTGGGCCTCAGTTTCCTGTGGGTGAGGAAAGTTTGGATTAGATGTCCCTAATGTTGGCTAAAATTGCCGATTCTAAATTAGGCTCCCGTCTGTCCTAGATGTTAGGGGAGTATGTGGCTTCCTCTCCTGAAGCAACCCAACCTGCAAGTCAGTTGGGATTGGAAAAGTGCTTCCAGCAGCAGATGGGGATTGACAGGAACCAGGGGTGGTCTGGAACCCAGATTTCCATATATTTGAGGTACACAGCTCCCCAGCGGGCCTGGTTTTACTTTTTGACCTTTCACCCCACCTAGCCAGAGATGTTAATGCTTAGCCTTTTCTCAGGCTATCCAAGGAGGGTCCCAGGGTCCCAGAAAGGCCCGAGGCGGTCCTGGGCCCCTTGGCAGGAACATGTCCTTGGGAAAGACAGTGATTTCTTCTGGCTTCTGTCCAGTCTCCCAAAGTGGGGGCTGGCTCCAAAGCAGGTCAGGACTATTCCTGGGGACTTGATTCCCCAACACCTCCTGCATGCCAGGCTCTTCCGGGGCAGAGCTGAACAAGCCACGAGGCCCTGCCCTTTGATTGTTCCCATTGTTCTTCTGAGTTTCATTTTCAAATTCTCAGGCCTCAAGACTTAAAAGACCAGTACCTGGCTTCTCCTGGGGTCAGGGCTGTAAAGGGAAAGGTGGAAGAGGCGCTCAGCACAGGGCTGTGTTTTCTGGACAAAAATAGGAGAATGCAGGGGAGCTTCCTGAAGACTGGTGTTGGGGGCACCCTCAATTTCTTGAGAGAATTCATGAAGAAAGGTGAATCGCTTTTCCTTAGAGTCGCCTGCCCCATCATTCCTCCATTCTTTACCTTCCTCGTAAGCTCACTTGCATCTCAGATGTAGGGCCCTGGGGATGGTGACAATCTGTCGCAGAGCCTCATTCGAAAGGGAAGGAATAAAGAATGCAGACGGGTAACCAGAGTCCAGGCTCTTGTCAGCTCCTGCCTCTTATAACCATGCAACCCCCTCCCTGCCCTTTCAGACCCTGCCAGAACATTGCCCTGATGACCTCCACCTGGAAACTTCCCCAGTCCTAGGACCAGGCCAGCTGGGCCTCTTTATCCCTGAAAGCCTGCCGCTTTCTCTTTTGGTACCATTTGGAAAAAGAACGTATATGGGCATCATAGCCAACAGGAAGACGTAGGTTACGCTTGCACTGTGTGGCCTTGGACAAGTCACTTCCCCCTTTGGTTTCCTCAGCTATAAAATGATAATATTATGTCATTGGACTGGGTGTGGTGGCTCACACCTATAATCCCAGCACTTTGGGAAGCTGAGGTATGAGGATTGCTTGAGGCCAGGAGTTCAAGACCAACCTGGGCAACACAGTGAGACTCCCCCCCATCTGTATTTACTTAAAAGAAAAATAAATTTTTTTTTTTTTTAAATTACCTCACTCATAAGGTGTTGTGGGACTCTCAAGAGAGCTGCATAGGCTGGGCACATTGGCTAACGCCTATAATCCCAGCACTTTGGGAGGCCGAGGCGGGTGGATCACCTGAGGTCAGGAGTTCAAGACCAGCCTGGCCAACATGGTGAAACCTTGTCTCTACTAAAAATACAAAAATTAGCCGGTTGTGGTGGTGGGTGCCTGTAATCCCAGCTACTTGGGAGGCTGAGGCAGCAGAATCGCCTGAACCTGGGAGGCGAAGGTTGCAGTGAGCTGAGATTGCGCCATTGCACTCCAGGCTGGGCGACGAGCAAAACTCTGTCTCAAAAAAAAAAAAAAAAAAATTCAGTGTAGTACCAGGCACTGTTAACACTAGCTGCATGTTCTATATGGACACAATAGGACACTTGAGTAGACTGAGGCTCAAAGAGTTAAGTTGCTGCCCAAGATTGCACAGTGGCAGGCACTCAATAACTGAGAGCCCCTTCCTCTGAAATCACATTAGTGTTTTCTGTTGTTCTCTCATTGTCTCAAATGCATGGATCCTGTTTTTCCTACCACACTGGGAGCTCTTTAAGGAAGGAACAGTAAAAAACAAACAAACAAAAAAACAGTAGACCAGATTCTTCCCCCTCCCTCCTGACCCAGTCCACTCAAAAATTACTCATTGAACTGAATCAGTGTATCAATTCTATAAACAAAATTAATCCTTTGCCTCTTCCTCTGGCTCAAAGATGGCTTTTGGAAACACTGTATCACTCCTTTTATTACAAACTCCTCTGCCCTCCTCCTGGCGCCTGGGCCACTCCAGGATTACAAATGGAGCCTTCTGCCTCTAGGTCACTGATTCCACTACCATCTGTCAGCGTGGATTGATTGAGGAGACTGGCCCTGCTCGGCAGATCAGTGACTTGCGCAAAGTGAGCCGGGGTGCCTTCAGAGCAGGCGGATGTCCTTCCTCACTTGCCAGCTCTGGTGAGCAGACACACAGCCCTCACCTTTATCCTTCACCAAGCTCCAGCTCTCCTTCCTCTTGGGAGGGGCTGCCTGCTAACTCAATCACACCAAGAGGGAGGCCTGGAATTCCTGCTCACAAGCTCAGGGCTTCATCTGCAGTCTTCCAGGAGGCAACCTACAAAAGCCTCTGGCTAACAGAGCGGGAAACTCCCCACAGCCTCCTGCTGTGCCTGTCCCCAAGCCACGCACTGTCCCCTTGCAAAGCACAAGGATACTGAGAGTGCACAAACAGCAGGGGTGGAGAGCCTCTGTGGGCACGCCCTCATTCTGTGCCCTCATTCCACAGGAGCCCCTGCTTTGTGCAAGTCTCTGAGCCCACATGGAGGGAGCATGGGGGCTCAGAACAGTTCTTTCTGGTGCAACGTCAGAGGAGGCTCTAAAGCTATGGTGGTAGGGAGGGCTTCAAAACAGAGGACCAAAGAATACCGAGACGTAGGGGTATGGGCGAGAGCCACCCGCTGTGCCCAGGAGGACTGTGCCCAGTGCAGGGGAAAAAGATGAAGCTGCGGAGTTGGGCAAGGGTGGGATCCTGCAGGGCCTTGTAGCATTGACATGTTTGGCATGGATTTGTTTCACGGGGTCCCACAGAAACTTCTGCTCTCCAGGTTTGCCCCTCACTCTGCCCTCCAGGATAGAAGTGTGGCATCCTAATCTGGGATGCATCCATCTCTCCCCCGGACTGTGAGCATATGCAGGGCAGAGACACCTCTGCTTCTCTCGGGTCTCCGGCATCCTGTGCAGGGTAGGGCACCATGTCCATTAAAATGATGTTAGTGAGGATGATACAACCCAGAGGAATCCAGGCTTACTATGAACCAGGCACTATGCAGATTTCCCTTTGTCATCCCAGTTCTTCATATTTGCAGCAGTCTAATGAGTTTGGTACTGTTATCACTCCTATTTTACAGATGGGGCTACGGAGGTGCAAAGAGTTTAACTTATCCCAAGTCACACAGCTTGGAAGAGGCTGAGCTGGTATTTGAACCCAGGTCTTCAGAGGCTGCACTCTTAACCACCAGGCTTCCCAGCACTCAGCAAACACTGGAAAGACAGTCAGTGGGACCAAAAGTCTGCAGGCCAATAGGGAAAGAATGTAAGAGGATGGCGTGGGCAGCACCAGCCTCTCCCACAGTCATATATTAAGCACTGGACACTGGGCAGCTGGGGCAGGTGGGGGCCTCAGACTCTCAGACCCCACGCTGGGAAGACCACGGTCTGGCCAACAAGCAGCAGCTGCTGTGAATCGACTGACACATCGTCCCCACAGGTGAGCAGAGAGCCGACACCTGAGGAGAGGCCAAGAAACGGGAAGCCCGTGCAGCCCCGGGCGCACAGATCACACCCACCTGCCCGGCACTCACTGCCCCTAGTGGCTGGACTCTCACTGGGCCGGTCACGGAGCTGGGGCCAGCCTGGTCTCACCAGTGTGTGTCTTTAAATCATCCAATTCCTTCAGCTGTAAACTGGGCTGGGAGGGGCCAAGTGAGCTGCCTGCCTCAGGGGGGGGTCCTCGCCCTTACCTGAGGGATCGCATTCACTCCTCACAACAAACCCATGAGGCAGGGATTGTCCTGTTCATTGTACAGAGCAGGAAATGGGTGCACACAGAGGTTAAGAGACTTGCCCAGGTCACACAGCTAGGAAGAGGCTACGACTTGAACTGACTTCTCTCCAAAGCCCCTACAGAGTTACTCGGGACTACAAAGAGTTAACCTGAATATGAAATGATCTGACAGTCGCAGTGACAAAGGCATGCTCTAAGCGCTTTTCCTGCAGTAACTTGCTTAATCCTTGCAACAACCCTATAAAGTGGGTACTGTTCTTGCCTCATTTTGCAGATGAGGAAACTGAGGCACAGAGCAGCTTGGAGGGGGCAGAGCTGAATCTGACGGGCTGCAGGGCCCCTGCGTCGCTTTGTCACAAGATGACAATAAGGAAGTTCCTTTCCTTTGGGATTATTTCTGCCTGAAAGCTCAAGACTTTTAGCCATATCATTGTCTGGGCTCCACGGGAAGGCAGTGCCACATGCTGAGGCATGCTGGGAAAAGACTTTGTTCCATCCTGTTTTGTTGACATGCTCTTCATTTTTAAGCCTGAAACCCAAGCTTCCTGCTAAGAATTCAAACCATGGAGAAAAACGCAGCCATGATAACGGCCACTACTTCCTGAGCCTCCAGTGTTCCCCGTGCTTGGGGATCCACATATGTCACTTAACCTTAGCCTTCATGGCACCAGGGCAGCCTCCATTTTCACCACTGAAGACATGAAAGCCCAGAGTCACTTAGAAGATGCCTGAAGGTGCACAGCTGCTAAGCGATGGTGCTGGGATTTGTCCTCAGGTCCTCGAGAGTCCTGACTCTTATCTGCTGGCTCCCCACAGAGGCACGAAGTCTTGTTTGCTGGGCATTTGACAGAAATGTTTCTGCTCATCTTCTGCCACAGATTGGTCCTTCAGCATCAAGATTCCTGGACCACTTATTAATAGAAGGCACCAGGACACAGGTGCAGGGATGCAGAGCTGGATGCTGCCTTCTCAACAGGAAAAGCCAAGAAACGCAGATGCCAATGCTCAGTCAACTCCGTCTCTCCCTCTAGTGACTCGGGAATAGCTGCCCTGCCACCAAGGCGATTGTCTTCTGGAAGCAGCCACGCCGTGTGAGGTTCCTCATCACTGCCCTGCATCTCCCTGCAAGCTCTCGGGGATAACTGCCAAATCAACATTTGATTCCAGGGGAGCAGAAAGCAGCAGGAGCCGTGGATTCTCCAACTCTTAACTGGTCCTCTTAACTGGAGCCACTTTGCCCTGCCCACCCATCCCAGTGGCAGATTCATTACAGTTATCCAAAGCCAGTTTTGACTTTGCTCCCCCGGCTCAGAAGTCTGTCAGTGGGTCGAGTGGCTTCATCATTCAAGTTTATTCCTATCAGCCTGGAATACAAAGCCCTATCTGGCTCGGCTTGCTTCTCCAGACCTCTCCCAGGTCTCATTCTGCCTCTCCGCCTAACTAGACAAGCTGGCTTCCTGTCCTGTGCCTTTCTGCTCCCTGCAGCAGGAATGCCCTTCCCTCCTCCCTACAGATTGAAATTATACCCTCTTTCAAGTCTTACTCAAATGCCACCTCCTCCACACTCTTACCTTAACACTTATTCATTCAACAAACATTGATAGCCCTTATGGCAAGCATTGATCCCAAGGGTCCCTGTGGTCATGAAGCTTATGGTGCCATGCAGCGGTTAGAAAAAGAATCATCACATAATCATCTGATAACAGCCATGATACAAATTAGTAAGAAAGTGTGACAGGAGCACAGCAGGTGTACAACAGGGACCCTGAGCCTTGGGGATCTAGGACATTTGAGCTGAGACCTGAAAGACAAATAGGAAGTAACCACATGGTGAAGTTGGAGGAGAGCTCCAGGCAGAGGGCATGGCATGGGCAAAGGCCCTGTGGTAGGAGGGAGCAGGTAGACTTCCAGGAAGGGCACCAGGGCCTGCAGGGTAATTTAAGTGAAATGAGAAAGCTGGAGATGTAGCTGGAGCAGGACAGTACAGGCCACAGGGCTTTGCGACTTTATCCCTGGGCAAAAAGAGGAGATGATGAAGGATTCTGAGCAGAGGACACAAGCCAGTATGCATTTAGACGCGATCCTGCCTTGTGGCTGAGCCTCTTCTGAGAAGTGCAGGCCCTGTGTCATGTCACCCTGAACCTCAGTCATCAGGGTTTTGAATGCGAGTTTCCATATCCCTCCTCCTAGACCAAGCTCTCAAAGGCAAGGCTGACCTCTGGTCTTCAGCTTCATCCCCATCAGCCAGGCCAGTGCCCAGCACAAGGAGCTGCTCCAAAAACATACGTGGGATAAACCAGTGACCAGGCAATATGCTTATCAGCATTTCCCTGTGAAGGAGCAAGGCTGCCTGTGAAGCCTTCCACATTCTCTAGAAATTACAAAGTTCAAGGGTTTTAGCGAGGCCACAACTCAGGGAGCCCTTGAGAGCCAAGCTGGCATCCCACTGCTGCGCACACCCAGCCTGGGCACACAGTATGACCCTGCCCAGGCATCTGCCCATAGCCGTCAGGTGAATGACCAGAAACAGAACCAAAAGCTTTGTAAGGTGCTCTCGAGGTTACAAAGCATGTTTCACAGGAGCAGTCTCATCTGACATAGGCAGCCCTCTGAGCTGGGTAGCTACTGCTTTACAGATGAGGAAACTGAGGCCCAGGAGAGGGCGGGTCCTCAGCAAATCAAAACAAAACTCAGACTAGGACCTAACAAAAGTCCAGGCTATGAATGGCCCCCATAGGGTTAACAGAGCTTTCTAGACATTTCTTTGAAAACTACTGTAAAGTGACATATTTCCTCAGGATGTCTGTCACGCCAGCAGTGGGAGCCAACACACCAATTCTCAGAGGCTGTTCCCCCTGTGCGGCAGATCCAGACGCTCAGCTCCCAGGCCCCGAGGCTGGCGGCTTAGCCCAGGGCACAGGAGGAGGCTCCCTGGGCTTGGCGCTGACTTATAGCAGGTGCTGAGGGAATGCTCAGGAGAGGCAAGGCTGATTCAAGAGGATGACAACAGAGAACGTTCCTAGAGCTCGCCCACCAGCTGGGCATGGTGCTAAGTGCATTACCTGCGTTCACCCACACCATCCTCACAACACTGTGAGTACAGTGACCATCCCCATGTACAGGCATGGACACTGAGGCTCAGAGCAATAAAGAATTAGCCTGAGATCTAATGCAGGTGAGTGCAGAGGCCGGCTCTGAACCCACACATTGCCCTTAAGCAACCTCATGTCCTGAGCAAAGGTGAGCAGAAACATCTTGGGAAGAGGGAACCACGACTGTATCTTCTTCAGGAGCCATGATGGCGCAGGGCACCCCTTCCCCTGCCCACCTGACGACCATTATTCCCATGATCAGTATATCCCTCTGTGGGCAAATAATGACAGACATGCATGGTAACCACCCCTTTACAAGTTTTGTGCCTCCCCAGCCTCCTCCCCTAGGGCTCTCTAGGCTTCCTTTACCCGTCCTGCCTTAGACGGGCTCCCAGCATCATCTGCCTCCGTGCCTTCTTGGTAGTAGGTGGGTGTTAAAAAGAAAGGAAGGACCGGGTGCGGTGGCTCACACCTGTAATCCCAGCACTTTGGGAGGCCGAGGCGGGTGGATCACCTGAGGTCAGGAGTTGAGACCAGCCTGGCCAACATGGTGAACCCCCATCTCTACTATAAATACAAAAAATTAGCCAGGCCTGTGGCACGCGCCTGTAATCCCAGCTACTTGGGAGGCTGAGTCTGGAGAATCACTTGAACCTGGGAGGTGAAGGTTGCAGTGAGCAGGGATTGTGCTGCTGCACTCTAGCCTGGGCAACAGAGCGACTACGTCTCAATAAATATAAGAAAGGAAGGACAGAGGGCGATGTGACCTACAGCAAGCTCCCTAAGGTCCTGCAGCCTCAGCCTTTTCACCTGTAGAATGGGGACATTAACATCACCCCCTCCCCGCCACCGAGGGCTGCAGGCACACAGGGCTCAATCAGTGACCGTGCCTCTAAGTGAAGTTGCCATCATTCCAGCCTCAGGCGCCCCATGAGGTGGGATCATTCACCCCGTGAGCAGACAGGCTCAGGGAGGTGTGGTGCCTGCAGTCACCCAGCAGCCACAGCGGAGCAAGGAGTAAGCCGCACCTGTTGAATCCCAAAGCTTCTGCTGAGGGGAGGAGGGAGAGTGAATGAGCTACTGGGGGACTCCGTGGTAATCAGGCTCACAAAGCCAGGTGTGGGCTGGATGTGGCTCCCCAGCCCCGTAGACACCTCCCCAGGTGCTCCTCACAGGGGATGGGGGGTGGTGTCTATGGGCTCATGCGCCCTCTGGGGAGCTGCTACTGGGCTGGGCCCTCTCGGTTCCCCAGCCCAGACCAGGTGAGTTACTAGCGGGGACAGGAGGAGAAATGGGAAAGCTAGGCAAGAGGTCACTTATCTGTGGGCTGATTGCAGAGTGGGAGGGAAGAAAGCATCCTTTCTGGAAAAATCAATGGGCAGATGATACCGCCCAAGTCACTACCTACATGGAAACCTTCCAAGAAAATCAAAGCAACAAGAGAATCACAGCCCCTTAGAGCAGTGGCAGACCTGAGAGGTGAACAGACCCAAGTCCGCCTCACACAGTTAGGGAAATCAAAGTCCAGGATGGTGATCATGACTCGCTCAAGGCCCCATGGTGTGTAGGTGACTCTGCCATGTATGAGGGGCGTCCAGCCCCAGGCAGCTCATTTACAGTGGTGGGTGGGCCTTTGTGGTCTCCATGCTTCACACTCCAGCCATCCACTTCCCTCTGTTCTTGTCTTTGCTAAGCAAGGGGGCTGGTTTAGCTTCACCCAGAAAATACCAAATCTCTGGGGCTCTTCCCTGCACACTTTTAGTTTCTAGGCTGCCCTGGGCCCTGCTGTGCCCCTACATGTGGCTCAGAGTGGGGAGAGACTATTAAGCTAATACATAGTTAGGCAACTAGAACACAGCCTGCAGATCTCACAGTGCTCCTAGGTCTTGGCTATTATTACCAGACATGATGACCACCTCCATTTTACAACTAGGGAAACTGAGGCTCAGATGGATTGAGTGATTAGCCCCCAGATACTAGGTGCTAGAGCCTTCACTCTCTGGAGCTGTCTTTTTTTAAGCTAACAATTATTCAGTGCCCCCTGGGAGCCAGGCTCTGGCTGGCTGCTTTGTGAGAATGATCTCATATAATCCTCACCTCAGCCCTGTGATGTAGGTATTATTATTGCCCAAGAACACAAAGACTCAGAGAGGGCAGGTAACTTCCTTGAAGCCACACAGCTAGGAAATGGCAGAGCCAGGATTGAACCCAGGCAGTCTGGCCCCAGGACGTTGGCCACCCCTCTGTGCTGCCATCTCAGTTGGGGATAGGTCTGGGGGACTAGCCACCCCAGTCTCCCACAGGAGCCTCCAGCCATCTCAGGGTCCCAGGCAGGAGGAGCTGCTCCTGAACCCTTCACCCCTTGATCGGCGTCCAAACTGCTTCCCCTCCAAGTTGGTTCCAGCTCAGAATGTGGCCTGGGCTGGTCCTGAGACTCCGAATTAAAAGAAGACTCAAGTTGGTCCTTCAATTCAAGTCTGAGGCCATCTGGGAATCCCAGCACAAGGCAGCCTGAGAGAGGCTGACTTGGGAGCAGCTAGAACAAGCCAGCTTTGCAAGAACCTGAAAACAGGTCCAAAGTGCTAAGACACAGGCACATCCAGAAGGCGAGTTTGCAGTAACAGCGGTGTCCATGTGGCAGTGTCATCAGGTCAAGTTCTCCTTTCCTCCAGAAGTGGCTCCCCCAGCCAGCAAAACAAGGGTCCCACTTCCACTGTCACCGCCTCTCCCCACTGGTCCCTTCCAACGGCTTCAGCCACACAGTGCAACCCACCTCTTACACCCTGGATGCGCTGTTCTTGCACTTCCCTCTGATGGTACACCCTCTCCTGCCTTAGCATGGCAAACTCCTACTCACTATTCAAGGCCTTCAAATGCCACCTCCTCTGTGAAGCCTCTCTTGATTTCCCTGTCAGAATTCACAGGGGAACTCAGGGAAAAGATTTCTGTGGGGAAAAAACCCCCTTGGGGTGAGTTTGCCCAAAGGAAGTGAGCCCATCACACCATCTAGGACATGGGGAGAGGGCAGCTGTTCCATCCTGGTGGTCCCACTTCCTGGGGGAATCTGAGTCTGGGTCTGCTCCTCTGAGCTCTAGGCACAGGGCTCCTCTATGCCCAGCTCTGGGCAGGTGCCAGGAGTGCAGAGGGGAGGCCTTAAATGTCCCTGTACCCAAGGATGGTCACCCAGGCTCTGCACCCAAAGGCCTAACAGGGAGACAGACCCACCTCTGTGTGGTCAGGACTGTGAGAGGGCACAGAAAGTGGGCCAGGCACAGGACCGAAGTCCACCTGAGAGGAGGACAGGGAAAGCTTCCTGGAGGAAGTGAATTGAGACCAGAAGACTTGACCAGAAAAGAGAAGATGGTGAGGTCAGATGAGGGACCAGCTCCAGGGAAAGGGAGACTGGAAGGAGAGCCACAGCCTTCCCCTGACCCTCCACCTGTAGATGGTTCCTGCCCTGGCTTCTCAGCTGAGAACACACAGTCTCTGCTGGGGCCTGAGCTACGGCCTGGCCCTGGTAAAACTCACTCCACCACGCATTCTCTGGAGGCCTGCTGTAAACACACTGACCACCTGCGTCCATGTCACTGCACCTGTCTGAGCCCTGTGGCAGCGCAGAGACTTGTACCATGGCCGCTTCCCGGCCCAGGGCAGGCTCAAGCTCCCTTGCCCTCATGGGCCTGTCAGAGGAGTCAAAGTCCAGGAGGCTGTGCCAACAGCCCCTGGCTGCAGAGCTGTTTGCCAACCTCCAGGCCAGCACTGTAGCCGGGGGAGTGCCCGGCCCTGGCCTTCATTCTGCAAAGCCCCATCCCAGCCTCCGTCCCAGGTTCTCCGTCTCTGGTTACGCTTGGGAAGCAGCTGCGGGCAGAAGTAGCCTTCAGAGACTCAGGCTGCCCAGGTTAAGAGAACGACAGAACCGTGACTCTGGCTGGGGCAGAGACCTGGGAGGGAGGTCAGGGAGCTGGGACAGTGCCTAGGGGTTGGGAGAGCTGCCCAGTTCTCCTCTGGGGTGAGCTGAGGAGGGGCTGCCATGCCTGGGAGGAGGGGGCCGGCTTCTCCTGCCTTGCCGGCCTGTCTGTCTCCAGCTCTTCACTGTAAAATAAATGGAAGACGCACACGCCAAATAGAAAAAAAGGGAGGGCCAAATAAAGCCCCATGCTGCCCCACACGGGCTCCCTCCGTGGGTCTGGGCCAGGGCCTCGGCCTGGGTTACTTGCTGCTGCTTTTCCCGGGAAACCACTGGTGCCAAATTTGCATTTACCACAAACAGAGACAACACAATGTCATAATCCTTCTCCTGTCATTCTCCGCTCTCTTCCTCCTCCCACCTCAGACACACACACGCTAACACAAAATGACGGCTCCCTCGACAGCCTGAATGAGCAAAGCCCTCGATCTGCCTCTTCATTGTTGGCGTTTCTCTCGGCCCTCGCTCCGTGCCCATCGCCCAACTCGCAGCAGACCACCCACTGCCCCTCCTTTGTCCCGCATCACCGCTGACAAATGGCCTGCTGGAGGTGGAAGAACATGCTTGGAAATAGTGGAGGGGGGCAGAGGGAGCAGCCAGCCCCCGCCCCCCGCCGCTCTGCACCCTCACACCCGGGCTGGCCACGCAGGGCGGCTGCATCTGGACCAGAAGGGACGGGGGCGGGCATTCGGCCCCTGGGACTGTGACCCGGGGCCCTGCCCTTCACGCCCCTGCTGCTGCCGCGCTCCCCGAGCAGCCCCCTCGGGCCCCTCCTCTCCCGGCCACCCTCCTGGGCACTGCTCTGAACATCCCCCGCCTCCCCGCCCTCCATCGCTCTTTATGGCAGTTTCAAAGCTACAGCCGCCACTCGAGCAGCTGCGGCCTTTGATGGGGACAAGGCAGTAAAGGCCGCCCGGGAGGCCCCTGCCCAGCCCTGCCCTGGCCCGGCGCGGCTCCTGCCCGCCCCCGGGGAGCCTCGGGCCAGGGCAGCGCGGTGCGGCGGAGCACCCGGCGGGCACGCCTCGCACGCCAGAGCAAACTTTCACGACCGCGGAAGAGGCATCGCGCACACCGTTACCTTTGCAGCCGCATCCTTCCCTGGCCCTTG